CTCATGAGATCCACCACATATCATGCACCGTGAGGGTTGTGGAGTAGGTGGTGTGCATCTTTGATAAGTAGCTTGACTCATGTTGGCACAAAATCCTTGAGTAGATTGTTGATGGATATGGTTGGTGGGGTTGAGCATGTAACAATTTTCCACAAAGTGATTCCCACCACAAAATGAGCACCATTGGGGTTGTGATGTTTGATATGAACTTTCTTGATAATATCCTTGACTAGAGTTGGCAAAATTTGAGAAAGGGAATTGTTGTTCCATTCCTCCATATTCTCGATTCATATTCCAACTCATCTCATAACCTTGAGAAGGAGGGTAAAACGGTGGCATGGTTCCTTGGAATGCATATCTATCCATAAACTAAATCACACTCAAAACAATGAACTTGTTATGGGTTAGCAAAACAAAATAAAATAAAAAAAAAATAAAAATGGACTAGTCTCCTAGAATAAAGATTTCACTAATGTTAATACTGGAAACACCACCTCCCCGGCAACGGCGCCAATTTGATGCGTAGTATATTTGCAAACAAATAATTCTCGGAGTACGAGTTATCGATCCACAGGGAAGTGGTTGTATCAAGCACTAGTTACTAACTTATTCATTAGAGCTAATCCTAACAATTACGTAGATGATTGATTGGCATAAAATAAATAAAATAAAACAGAGGTTCAGGATTTTGAAAACAATTAGAGAGAAGTTGAGATTCACGGGATTCAAGTATTTAATCACCTAGTGCCAATTATCGTTTGCAATATTTAGTTTGGAATTAAGATTTGTGTGGGAATGCAAAGTGGAATCGAATTACTCCCGTAATCTCTATTCCTAGTGAATTTCCACTCCCATGGCTTAAACACCCAATAAGATCAAAGATCAGCATTCAATTATTCCTAATTACTACCATCTCCCGATGAGCAATAATCTAGAATAAACTTCCCCTAATAAGTTTCCCTTTCCCAAGGACCAACCATTAGGTGCAATCGTGTGTGCCCTAATTTATGCCCCAACTCCCATTGGTGACACAAACATGGCTATGAAGCTAGTAACTATGGCCATTAATTACAAGCATCAAACAATATTATCACGATTGCAACACAAGTATTAAACCCAAATAATAATATTTTAAAGAAACTGAGAGCTCAGGCACATAGGTTCATAAACACTTTTACCCAAGAATCTCTAAAGAATTTAGCCAAGCATGACTAAATTATACATAGCAAATATAAATAAAAAATTACAAATCATCAAAAGAGTACAAGAATTAACCAGACGATTTTCCCAAATCTCCCTAGTCTTCTTCTTGCTTTCCAAGACAACTTGTGGCTCTTGATTTCTCTCCTTCTTGTCTCCAAGAATCTCTGAATTCTCTCTGTGTCCCGGTCTCTCCGTTATTAGGGTTGAGGAAGGAGGGATTTTATAGTGGGTATAAAGTTGAGATGAAATAGGAATCTTGTACCAAATTGGACTCAAATTCTAATTCCTATATTTAAATAAAGAAATTGTCGTCTTTAATGATATTTAGAATTTGGAAGATTCCTTGAATTGCTAACTTTTAATATGGAGATATGAGCCTTGAAATCCGCGCAATTGATATTAGGAAAAGAGATCTCGCGCTTGTATTGAATTTTGCCCAGCTGCGCCACTTTAAGCGTCTATTTTTATCCCAGAAACAGACGCATATTCGACACGTCGAGAATTTTCTCGACGCGTCGAGACTTCCTGTGCGCGAATTAGTTAGCTACTGGAAAATTTCGACGTGTCGAGCCCTTGGCTCGACGCGTCGAGTTCACTGGGCCCCGAACTCATCCAAAATTGCTCCAAACTCATCCTTGAACTCCCCTTGGTCATATCTTTGACCTAAAATGGTTCAAAAACACTAACAAACACCGTAAAATATTCAAAACAAGTGCGAACCATAATTAAATGATAATAGCAAGGAAAACATGTATTAAATAAGCAAAATTAAAGAGCTTAATTAATGTGATGATTCAAAATAACCATAAAAACAAGCACAGATGTGATAACATCAGACCACAATTTGTATTCTTTCACTTTCTTCTTCCTCTATAAACTTATTTTAGAAATTAATCATAGTTAGTAGCGATGGTGCAGCTTTATTAATTACTTCCTTATAATTGCACAATACTAATGCATGCCACATTTTGATAGTAGGATGCTAGACTGCAATTGCAAGGCTCAATTGGGCAACATGCTCTAGTTGCACCTACCAATTGTACGTTATGATCGAGTGCTTACCACTATGCATGCCAATCGTTGTAGCTAGTAACAAATGCGCAATTTTATTTCCTTAATTACTTGCATAACAGTAATTGTCACGTTTCGATGACAGGATGCTGGAGTTGGCCCGCAAAGCCAACACATGACCTGTTCAATGAGATTTGAACACATGACTTGTTCTGGTCAGTTGCTAGGATCGATTAAGCGCTTACCACTATATGCCAAAAGTTATAACTTTATTTTGGTGTAGTAGTAAGCATTTGATCTGACAACAATGTAATTAAATTACTATCTTAGAACCCTCCAAATTTCCTATGTAAAAGTATCCTCAAATTGTCCAAAAAATAAGGAAGTCAAACAAGTAAAGAAGAAGGAAAAAAAAAAAAAAAAAAAAAAAAAAAAAGACAAAGGCCCTGTTTGATAAACTGGTTGTTAGCTGTTAGCTGATTGTGTTAATTAGAGGGTATAAATAGTTGATAACATTAGCTGATTGTAAAAAAGTGTTTGGTAAATTAGCTGTTAGCTGATAGTTGTTTGGTATAATTTCTTTACTTAAAAAGTTAATTGAAAAAGTTGATTGGAGTTGCTTTTTGAATTTTAGCCTTTTGGAGTTGCAAAAAGCTAATTAACCAAACATTTATATTGATATTTTAATTAAATCAAACAATTAATAGTGGTCAAATAAGTCAAAATTGACCTATAAGACAATTTTTTACCAAACAAGGCCAAAGTAAGATAATAGTAGACTAAGCAAACAGTAAGACGCGTAGTAGTAAGCATTAAAGCAAGCTGACAGTAAAGCAATTAAGCCAGTAGTAAGGCAATCATACCAAGAGATACCAATGATGTTCTCAAAACAAGACAAGTAGTATATGGATATCTCACTTCTAATTTTGGACATTGTCACATTAACTAAGGTGGATCTTTAATTTGCCAAAACAAGCAACTTGCATAAAAATAAGTGAAAAGCTAAAATCTAAGGAACAAGTTGTAAGCAACCAGTAGCTAAGAGTCTACAAGTTTCAAACTAAGGAATAGATTAAAATATTACAAGTGGTATGTATATATTTCAAATTTGTCTCACTACAATGAAAATTTTTGAATCCAAATATATAGGGATGACAATAGGATGGGCATGGGTGAGGAGTATATTCTCCATCCCCGCTAACCAGATCCCGTCTCTGACCTCGCGAGGAATTAGGCGGGGACGGGGAATGCGGAATGCCCATCGTGATCAACTTCATAGTCAAATTGTTAAACTAGTACAATTTAAAAAAAAAAAAAATTGAAATCCTTAAGGGGAGCATGCCTTTCGGGACCTCACCAAACCAAAAAAGGACACCTTAAAAGGAATATGTTTATGTTAACACCTCCCTAAAAGCATGTCTGGATCCGAAACAAGCTCAGAGTTAAGTAAATATTTAGCTGAAGCAAAAGTAAACATACCATATTTCTAGTGACGCACCACACCAGCACGTCCCTGGTCCCTATCCCAAACGAGAAAGATCCGCTATCAAACCCATAGGAAAGCTAGAAATCTCAGAAAGGTCAAAGTACTCCATCCTTAATAAAATTCCCAAGCATGAAACGAGGGTAAGCAAACCCGGAATAAGGGAAAAGGTGGCCCAACATCCCTAACACAAACTTGTTATCCCACTACAGGCTAACCTGACCCTAAAATAAGCACCAACCAAGCATCTTCTCAACCTCATCCCAAATGCTAAACATGCGTTTTTAGGTGTGTGGATCCCTAAACCGCACAAGCTTAGCAATCGGATTCACCTGGCTTCACTACTTCACTGTCATGAAATCTCCTCACATCAAAGACGTAGTATGGAAATTTCACTACAGCTTGGCACTAGCAGCATGAAACATGAAGTCAAGATCCAAGAAGCCAATTTCACTTTCCTTTTTCGAGAGGGCCATCGACTTCTAGGAGCTCCAATGGTAGTACAATACATTCAACAACAAAATACGTACATAAGAAAATTTGTCCAAAAATAAAAACACACACACACACACACATACACACACACACACACACACACACACACACACACACACACACACATATATATATATATATATATATATATATATATATATATATATATATATATATATATATATATATATTGTGATTGCCCATGCACGTCTGCAGTGAGAATAACAAATTAGATTTAAAATCACCAATTAATTTTTTTTTCACCAAGTAATCCTATTATTTTGTTAATCTCTACAAATCTATAGAAGTCTAATTGCCTAAAATTACTTATTTTTAATGAACTACTAATTTTAAAACTTTTAAACTTTTTTTTCTAATTTTCATTTTCAAGTTATTAGTATTAAGTTAAGAAAAAAAAAAAAAAACTCAAAAAGCTAGGGTCAAATCAAAATTTGGAGAATTTTGAAATCATGATTTCACGGAGCTGAGTGGAGAAATAACAGAGAAAAAGAAAAGGAAAAAGAGAACTGTTTCATTGATTGTTCACTTCAGTACAGAGAGTTCATTACAAGCTTTATATATGATGAAGAAAGGGAGGGAAAGGAGGTTGGCTATTTGTAACAGAAAGTAACTAACTGCTAACTGCTATGAAGGCTTAAGATGGTGACAAGTGTCACTGATCCAGCTTATCTTGCTTCTTCTCCTGAAATCCCCCGCAAGCTGGATTATATAGATTTACTAATCCAAGCTTGGATATATAATGCTGAAAGGATGTAGGGCAGTGTGTTTTAGTGAAGGAGTCTGCTAGCTATTTTTCAGAGGATATGTGGAACAACTTGATGAGTCCTTTGTGTAGCTTGTCTCTAACAAAATGACAATCCAGCTCTATATGTTTAGTTCTCTCATGGAACACAGGATTCTCTGCGATTGCAACAGCAGATTTGCTATCACAATATATAGCTACTGCTTCACTGTGATTGACTCCAAACTCTGCTAGCAAATATGTCAACCATTGTACCTCACAACTTGTAGCTGCTAGTGCCCTATATTCTGCTTCTGAAGAAGATTTGGAGACAGTAGGTTGCTTCTTGGACTTCCAAGAGATTAGAGCATCCCCAAGGAAAATGCAGAAACCAGTCACAGATCTCCTTGTATCTATACAAGCTCCCCGGTCTGAATCTGAATAGGCTTTAAGTTGTAGGTCAGATGTGGATGGGAAAAATAAGCCTTGTCCAGGAGCTGCTTTGATATACCTCAGGACTCTGTGAGTTGCTTGTAAGTGTAGGTCTATGGGTTTGTCAAGAAAATGAGATAACTGTTGAGTAGCAAAGCTAATATCAGGTCTAGTTATTGTTAGGTAAAGAAGTTTACCAACAATTCTCCTGTATTGGTTGTTATCTTGAAGGGATACTCCTTCATTCTTGCTTAGTTTATGAGAAGGAACTGTGGGACTGAATACAGGCTTTGCATTTGTGAAACCTGTGTCTTCAAGTAGTTCAACTGCATATTTCCTTTGGCATACTGCAATACCCTTTTTGTGCCTAGCCACTTCAAGCCCAAGGAAGTATCTCAAGGGGCCTAGGTCCTTGAGTAGAAAGGCTGAGCTTAGCTGCTTCTTGACATCTTGAATGATTTCCAGACTTTCACATGCAATGACAATATCATCCACATAGATTAATAAGGCCACCAAGGACCTATTCTTTCCTCTGATGAATAGAGAGCTGTCAGGGACTGCCTGTTTGAATCCCATGTGTTGCAATGCAGTGGTTAACTTTGTATTCCACTGTCTACTAGCTTGCTTTAAACCATATAGGGACTTAATCAACTTGCATACTTGCCCTTTCCTGCCTCCATAGAAACCAAGAGGTGGCTGCATGTAAACTTCCTCCTCCAAATCTCCATTTAAGAAGGCATTATTTACATCCATCTGATGTAAATGCCAATTCTTTGCTGCTGCCACTGCTAGGAGAGTTCTGATAGTAGTCATTTTAACAACAGGGCTGAAGGTGTCTAGTAATCAATGCCAAGAGTTTGGTTGTACCCTTTTGCTACAAGTCTAGCCTTGTACCTTTCTATGTTCCCATCAGCTTTGTATTTAATTTTATACACCCACTTGCAACCAATAGCCTTTTTAGAGGGTGGTAGGTCCACCATTTGCCAGGTATTGTTGTTTTCCAGGGCTGTTATCTCTTCTTTCATTGCAGACTTCCAACTGTCATATTGAGCAGCTTCATGATAGTTCTTGGGCTCAGATTGGCATGAGATGTTCATGACAAAAGACTGGAAAAATGGAGTTAATCCATTGTAATCCACTACTTTACACATTGGATGGGGGGAAGTCTGCAGCTTGGAGTTTTGACATACATAGTCATGTAGATAGTTGGGGACCTGTCTAGTCCTGGTGGATCTTCTGGCATCTTGTTGGACAGCAGTAGGTTGCTGGTCAGAAGTTGCATCCTGGGAAGGTTGCCAGGGCTGCTCACTACTATTGCCAGTTGAATAATCTGATCCATTGTGTGACTGTCTAGATGTCCCAGTCTGTTGAGAGAAAACACACTCATTTTCTTCATTGTCATCTTGATGGGAATGGACTTGGTGCTGAGTTTGAGGATCACCAAGGTCCTCAGTGAGTGTGGGAGTCATGGATGGCAATATGATCTCATGACTAACCTCTGGTAGGCTGGATTGTTGGAAGGGAAACACTAGCTCATGGAATACCACATCCCTGGATATGAACAATTCCTTAGAAGTAAGATCAAAAACTTTATATCCTTTGGTGGCACTTGCATACCCTAGGAATATACACTTCTTGGCCCTAGCATCCAGTTTTGACTTAGGCCCAACAGTGGTTGCATATGCTAGACAGCCAAAAACTCTTAGATGTTGATATAGAGGAATCCTTTTGAGTAGGACTTGATAGGGAATTTGATTGTTGATAGCAGCTGATGGGAGCCTGTTGATCAAATATGCAGCATGTAACACACATTCACCTCAAAACCTGTCAGGTAGATTAACTTGGAACTTCAAAGCCCTAGCAGTGGCTAATAGGTGCCTATGTTTCCTCTCCACTCTACCATTTTGTTGAGGTGTATATGTGCAAGAGGTCTGGTGTACAATCCCTTTCTGTCTGAACAGATCTACCATATTAAATTCAGGACCATTGTCAGTCCTTATGCACTTTATACTTGTTCCAAACTGGTTCTCAACAAGATTGCAGAACTCAATGATGAGATTTCTGACTTCTGACTTAGCTTTCATCAAGAAAACCCACATAGCTCTGCTATGATCATCCAAGACTGTTAAGAAGTACTTGTGGCCATGAACTGTGTTAACTTTGTAAGGGCCCCATATATCCATGTGTAATAAGTCAAAGCAATTAGATGATAAAGAAGCACTAATCTGGAAAGGAATTCTCTTCTGTTTGGCAAGATGACAGCTGTCACAAATCAAATTCTTATTAAGATGAATCATTGGTTCTAGTTCTTTCAAGAATTGTAGTTTTGAATATGAGGCATGCCCCAACCTGGCATGCCAAAGAGTACATTTGTTTCCAAGAGAAATGGAACTACATACAGAATGTGTAAAAGAGGGAAAAACTAAGTAATAGAGTCCACTCATCAGCTTAGCCCTTCCAATCATTTTCCCATGAGAAACATCCTGTATAACACACTGGTCAGAGTACATTTTCACAATGTAGTTGGAATCTTTAATGAATGATCCTACTGAGATGAGATTATAATGAAACTCGGGAATGTAGAGAGCATTATGCAACACAAGATTCTCAGACAAGTATACTGTCCCTGTGAAATGAATGGCAGCCTGTTGGCCATTTGGCATATTAACATACATGTTATAAGCCCTCTTCTGATTTTTCAGCATTTCTAAATCACACACAATGTGGTGTGTGGCACCACTATCAATGATCCAAACAGTCCTATTTGACTTAACAGCATTGATTATAGGAGACATACCTTCTTTTTAGAAATCCACTGCCACAGTGTTTGCCAGGGCCTGAGGAGGTTGCTGATAATCAAGGGGTGAATTCATGCTATCCACATCTGATTTCTTAGCATGCATGAATTCCATGAACCTCTTGAAATCATCTTGGGTAAAAGACTTGTTATCTTCAGAGTTGTGCTGCTGTGCTGAGCTAGGTCCCTGAGTTTGATTAACAGACTGGTTTCTAGGCCTTGTTTTCCACCCTGGGGGATACCCATGCTTTTTGTAGCACTTATCATGAGTATGACCTGTGTAACCACAGTATGTACACACAGGCTTCTTGTGGTTAACTTTCTTGAAACCTTGTTGATAATTGCCTTCTGATCTGGCCAAGAGGGTACTTCCAGCAGCACTGTTTTCTCCTGCTTGGTATAGTTGGCTTCTAAAACCACTGCTGGCCATATGAAATTGTCTTTCTTGTTGAGCAATCATAGAATATGCTTCATTAACATCAGGTAAAGGTCTCATTAACATAATTTGATTCCTAGCCCCTGTATACTTCTCATGCAATCCTATTAGAAAGATTGATAGCTTATCTTTCTCTGCTTGTTCATTTAGTTCATCAATTCTTTTCACACATTCACATTTTGTGCTGCAAAGACAGCTTATCTGGGGTCTAAGGATCCCCAGCTCATCCCATAGCAACTTCTGTCTAGTAAAATACTCATTTAGGGAATCATCATTCTGCTTGGTTTGATAAATCTCACATTTTATTTCAGCAATCCGAAATAGATCTTGCTGACTAAACCTTCTTCTCAAGTCATTCCAGATACCATATGCAGTATCAATCCATAGCACACTGCGTGCTATTGTTGGTGAAAGAGTGCGGACAATCCAGGTGGATACTATGTTATTGCATCTTTCCCAGGTGAGATATCTGTCCAGATTCTCTGTGGAAGGTTTCTGAATGCTTCCGTTAATGAATGGCACCTTGTTCTTACAGGACAAGGCCATAGTCATTGCCCTAGCCCAAGAATGGTAGTTCGCACCATCAAGGGGGGTGGAAACCAATTCTAGGGCTGGATTCTCACTGATATGGAGAAAGTAGGGGTTGGATTGCGATTGTGGATCGAATGTTACCTCATTGTTGTTCGATCCAGTAGCAGGGGTGGAAGGAAGATGATTTGTGTTCGCTGTGTTGGTGTTGCCGATCACCGGAGCAGATGGCCCTCCCGTCGCATTATCAGCAGGGACCGAACGGTTGTTGAGAGAAGGCCAAGTCGTCATTGTTCTACTGATTGAAGCTCCTAATCGTTCTGCTCTGATACCATTTCAGCTTATCTTGCTTCTTCTCCTGAAACATGAATCTATTTTTTAAGGAATGTGTGAATGCTAAATGCATTGAGTGTGTTGTAAATTCATCTAGAAGGGGATTGAGAATGTGGATTGTGCCTATAAGTTTCTTATTCGTAAATTCTCATCAGTTGTATAATTAGTTCAACATGTTTTACTTTTTATTTTAAATTTACCATATTTTACGGAATATTTTATTAAAATTTGAATTTTATAAAAGAATTATAAAATTAAAAATTAGGATAGTAAATATTAATATCATTAGGCATTTGACACTGTTTGTTAAACTATTGAGTTACGATGATTTACCTCCTTCCAAATGCTCCATTGGATCGGAGTGTGAGAAATCCTTGGGATTGGAGATTCAATGTTTTGGAAGAAGTAGGATAGTAAAAGGGTAAACTTCAATTTATATATCGTCTGATCTGCAGCAGTCACAGTCGTGGGACGAGAATTATTTTGTCTTCTAAATTGGCAACTCTCATATATAACCACACAAATTAAACCTCATCCTAACCAGCGACTTCTTAAGCCATGACGACGATAACTTCAGATTTTTGTAGTGCAACATTCATTATGCTGATGTGATCATCATCCCATTTAATTTCCACCAAGGGCAACACTGTACACAGCTGATTACAGCACAGATTCAACTCAGAATGAGACAGTCGAATGAATATATGCTATACAAGCTTCTGCAGACTGCCACTAATGCATATGATACATACAACGTTAAAATCGCGAGTTATACTGTATGTATTTTCAAATTTTACTCTGCCATTTTTTCTTCATGATGTGAGAGCCAATAATGATTTGATATTTTCATTATGTCTGAAAAAAATGTCTACATCAAAAATTTGTGAAAGGAAATAAAAATTAAGAATAAGAAACGCGACAAATTAAAAGTGACAATTTCAACCGGTCTCTAGAATTTATTTCGACCAATCCCAAATGTTTCCGCAAATGTTTTTGTTTTCCATAAGAAGCTTCTAGCGTCAAGTCTTGTTCTCGGACAAGATCATTGCACGATATTTTTTATGTGCAGTTGACCTCTTTTTGTGGTAAATGTTTTTTATGAAACTATTTTTTGTCGCTTCGTTTTTTTTACAAGTTTTTTGTTTCAACATTTTTGTAATTCTAAAACCGTTATTTACATTAATATAATGGGTCATAAGGACAAAATTTGTTAACTCATAACATATTAATTGATGATGAACAAAAATCGTAAAATTTTGGAGATTTTTATCGCGTGAAAACATGATTAGATCAAAATAGTTTTACTTATTAGCATGTGGAAAAAATTGACTGGTAAATATTAATAAGGAAAAAGGGGCAAATTAGCCCACAAAGTCATCCGAATAGTGTAACTAGATCACCTAAGTAAAAAAAGTTCCTTTATGCAAATTAACATGTATAGCTGGTTAATTCTTCCAAGCTTGACACGTATTATTTTTATATTTTTAAAAAAACTTTGTATTTATTTATTAAATTTAAATGAAAAAAAAAAAAGTACAACCATTGGCTGTCCGCGAGGACAGTCGATGGCTGCCTCCTTCATCGACAGCCATGGCTGCCCTCGTGACAGCCACAACGGTTAAAGATTGATGGCCATGGGCGGTCATGGCTGTCCGGGGCCATCCCTAGACAACCATGGCGGTCTAAAAAAAAAATTCAATGTTTTTAGACGGCCATGGT